CAAATATCAGTTTTATGAATATTGGTGCCCTCCAACTAAAGTGAATATTTTCAAGCACATTTTCTTATAAAGTCTCTCATATCACTTGTTTTAGGATTTCTGTCATAGAACTGAAATATGGAGCTCTTAAAAAGCCTTAGGAGTTCATGCTTCATGACAGTGTCATGAACAGAACAACTGTTCATTAGTTTTGATTACATTGCTGTTTACTTCATAAATTATCTCATCACCTTGTGAGTACTGACATAACCTGTTTATGAATACTGAAGTGAATGGATAATGAAGTACTTGTTAAATGCTATTCAGTGCTTGTGTTATGAAGTCCTGATGTAGATACCCTTTAAATAAAGTGTTACCTAAAATGCTAATATATTATGTATCAGTTATTGTAAATGAATTAAAACCTTCAGATTTATACTGATGCAGTGTAAACTGTGACTGTAGAGCTAAGCATTTAGTGCAGGCCATAAATATCAATTTCTATGATAATTCTATGATATGACAATTCTATAATAATTCTGACTTTTGCTAACCACCTTGTGGGTTTCTAACAGTATGTTAGCGCTAAGTTAACAGTGGTGCACATGAATGTTTTTGGGCGTTCTAGATGACACAGACATTTGAAGCTTGTAAAAACATTCCATCTGATTTATAAGAAGCTTGTTACAGACATTAACATATATTTCATCTTGTATGTGTCAGTTTCACAGTGACTCTTTCAGTAAGAAGTCCCAGCACAGAGCTGTCGCCGCTGTTTCCCATTCCTAACAGCTAGCTGAAACCTGGTTAGACAATTTCCCCTATTCACAGTCAGTGATGTATCCTGCTCCTGAAGTGTTAACCAATGGGAGAGCTCGCTTGGCTGTCTACCTTAATACTATCTGAATGGATAATTTTTTTATCGGTTATTTCAAAAATTTAAGCTTTTTGCTTTCCAACCAGAAATCAAAAATGAAATAAGAGCATTACTACAATACTTGCAGTGTTACAATACAAGCATCATGACTTATATGAACTACAAATGACAAAACATACATATTATTTACTTCCTGGAAATCATTAGACCTTCTCTGAAGGTCTAGAATGCCATGTTAGTTCTCTACTGATGAAATGTGAGCTAAAGTGTAGTTACTTACCACACAGTCCTCAGCTATTTACTGTGCTCTGCTGCCAATACATTAGTTGTGTATAGAATGAGTAAATGTGCTGAAAGCCTGTGTCAGAGTGGTATTGATGGCTGGTGGACTCAGGGAGTTTGTTGTAGTAATGCTGTAGAAGACAATCAATAGACGTGTCGATACAGTAAATGGGCCTTAATCACAGCAGCCTGAGCTGGAAAACACTCTTCATGGCTGCATCATCATGTAATACAAGCCATTATTGAGCTTGTACATGCAGAGGTAACATCAATCGAAATAATTCAAAGGCTGTTTTCTGTTTTACCTGTTTCAAGCTTTTACATGTACATTAAATAAATTGTTTGCCAGAAAATTGCACAAAAACAGCTGATCACCCAAGACATATTTGGAGTCCAAATTTAGCTTCTTTAGTTTATAACTGGAGCTACAACAAAGCTAACATTGCTAATAAACACTAGAATTCGATACTCACCCAAATAGCCCAAGTTGTTTCTGTAAAAATACAACCCCAAAACTTCTCTCAACCTGCAAAAAGGTCATGTAGAAGTGGACTAGAGGATGGTATGACTTACTGTGAGCTATAAAAATGAACAAAACTTCACTGCTACGGATGGCCGATTCAAGCAACACCAGGGCTGATGTTCACAGAGCAAGACTGATGTTGGATCAGATTCCTCCTTTGCTAAACTTAAAAAATGTGGACTCAAAACATGTCTTAGCTAACCAACACTACAGAAATCACACTTATAGCCAGTGATAACAAAAGCATAATATAAATTACTCTTCACTCATAACTCATTGAAACAAATGAAGAAATTATGAGGAAAGTGCAGATTCTAAGCATACACTTCATACCACATTTGTGTTTGTAAGCACAAAGGGAGATAATTTATTATGGTTTAAAGTTGCTGAAGATATTTGCATATTGTTGTATGTACAGTCTTGTTTGCAGAAATTCTTTACATTGTTTTTGATACTGACACAGAAGAATGTCCTGGACCTATTGATACTGAATGTAAATGGTATTCCTTACTTATGTAATGAAATATGTAATTATGCGACTATATTTACACAGCAGGGGAGAGCAGGGCACAACTTGGCCCATTTAAGTTCTTGGTGAATAATTTGGTAAAACTTTATTTTTTTTTAAATGAACTCCACATCTCTGCTACAAATGAGAACATAAACATGTTTCTAGTACCTACTGTTTATGGCTCGTTGTAACAGTTATTAAAAAGACTGGCAAATCAATGAGAAATACAATTAATCCAGTACTCTTTTCATTTGTTTGAAGCAGATGAACTTTCTAACCTGAGTACATAAAAACATATGCATCAAAATGAATATGATTAATGAAAAGAGACAGATGTGACAGATATGGAAAACGTGTGTTTGACCACAAAGTACAACAGCAAATATCAGCACATTGAAAATGAAATGTATTATGTTTACAAGGCATTTCTAGTATGTTTTTGATGAATGTGTGCATGAAAGCTTCCAAAAACTGAACTGTTTTGAATTTGTACGGGTGGGTATAGAGGTATACAATTGTTTACTTTAGGGGTCTTGGTTGTAACAGTGTGTTAAACTAACCCCACCATGTAGAGGCTGTACATTAGCCTTGCTAGCTCTCACTGTGCGTTATTTATATACTTTAAAATGGTGCTTTATTACAGTCACCAAGATGCCAAATAAAATAATGTATTGATTTTGTGGCTTAAACAAACAACTCAGTAATCAAAGTATATGTATACAGGAAAAAGTTACTTTAATGCTATAAACAGTCTTGAGGGTGAATCTGAAGATGGATCTGTCAAATTGCTGTCAAAATTCACAGATGATGTCATTATTGGGATACCGGAAAATGACTAAAAGCGCGTTCTACTTGAATGTGTTTAACTACATAAATATCCATGTTACATTTTATCGCTTATCCGTTTGTGCCTCGCTCTCCCCTTTAGGCCAGTGTCAGTAACAACTCTAGCCGATTGGTTTACTGGTTTAAATCTTTTTAAGATTTATCCTCTCAAGAAGAAAAGAGTTTTACACCCCAAACAGGCTAGTTTGTTTATTTTCATCATGATTAAAGCAGTTTTATAGCTTATGCTCTATGCCTGAATTTTACAGTTTAATTAACTCAAAGCACCCTTCAGCTGTGGGAAATGGTCCAAGCTTGTGAAAAAGGCCTGAAGGCTTCTGGATTCTTATTTGGTCAGCAGACGTGGACTGAGGCTGACTGTGTGGTGGACTGAAGGAGAATTCCAGTAAAAAGGCTTTAACAAAGCAGCAGCATACCTCACCTCGGGCTGCTGAGTTACAGTGGACACTCTGAGACTGGCCACACTCGTAAATGCAGACTAAACATCATTCTATACTGCATATAAATTTAAGTTAGAATCAGCCGTGTTCAGTTGGGTTGATGGTTCTAGCATAGACAAGCCTGTCAGGGCTCATGTAGGCTACATCTCACTTTGTAGGCAGTAATTAGAGTACAGTTGTATAACAAATGAAAGAACACCGATTAGGAATAAGTAACAGAACAAAGCCAGTGCAAACCATCCACAGCTGTAACAGTACACAAACTGCTGAACTGGTTTTAGCCCCACTCTCGATTTAACCCCTTAAATGGCCAGGGCCCAAAGTTTTATGACACAGTCCTATAACCTAAATAGCTCAGTCAGCTTGCACTGAAGTCCCTGAAGTTACTGATTAATAAGCCTTAGTATGTAATAAGCCTGGGATCTTAAGGGGTTAGGTATGGTGTAAAAAATCAATTTTACACTATTTTACACTTACTCCAGCTGTAATCGATCAGCCCAGGTATGTTTGGTGTCCAAATTTTTCTTCTTTAGTTTACTGGAGCTAATGGTGCTAACAAACACTAGTAGTCAATAGTCACCGAAATCTTTCCTGTTAACACACCACCAGAACTTTTCTTAACCTGATCAAACCACATTCAGGTCTTCAGTAAAGTCATACAGACATTTCAACGTGGTTTAGAGCACAGTATGACTTTGACTTACTGTGAGCTACAAATTGAATAAAACTTGTAGCTGAATGTTGGGGGCAGCCACTTTAGACAGCGGTTGCTGTTTTGTTAAAAGGAAATTCCACCTTTTTTTTTAAGTCTGTATAAGCCAGTGGTTTAGATGTAAACAAAGTCATCCAGAGTGGTTTGATGTGAAATGATTAATTGTAGAGAAATTTATCAACTCAGATTTCCTTACAGTGGTGGTGATAGGAACCAGGGGTCGCAATGTTTACAACACACATATGTGTTCTATTAACTACGCAAAAACACCAGTGAACCTACATGTGTCTTCTGAGTTTATATATGCATTGTTGACGATGGTAAAATAATGATAAATCTGAAAAAATAAGTTTTCTTTGGGGGCAATTTTGCTGTCTGGTTCCTACCACCACTGTGAACAGCATGACATACGTTTCTCTACAACAGAGCATTTCACACCAAACCACTCTGACTGACTTTGTTTACATCTTAACCATTTAATTATGCCTTATGAATTTTTGAAACTTTGGCGGAATTCCCCTTGAACTTGCTGTTAGCAAAATTAAAAATTTTCACAGTTTATTTTGAGTATCATAATATAAATATGACTTTAGAAACACAGCTATTCACCTCTGATTTAAAAGAGTCTATTGTCCAGACCATGAGTGTTAATTTTCTAGACGGGTAAAACCTTCAGAAATGACCACTCACCTTCGTAGAGCCTTGTGACCCTCACTGGAACAGCTCTTTATACTTAGTCAGCTATATCACACATTTATCATCTCTCTCTCTCTCTCTCTCTCTCTCTCTCTCTCTCTCTCTCTCGCTCTCTATCTCTCTAACTCTTCCAGAAATCATCTCTTCCGGCTGCGTCTGGAGGACCTCTCACTGATCCAGGTAGGAAGACCACTCCACTCTCTTGCTCTCTTTTCCTGAATCCCTTGTAAGACTTCACTGTCATTAGAGATCAGAGAGAGAAGAGTTTAAAGCAGAAAAAGGTCAGATAAATGCTATGCTACATGAATGTTACAGAGACGTTTCTGCGTAGCAGAAGCAGTTCTACATGACCATTTTCCAACCTCTGCATTTTAGAGCCGGACGTTAGACTGCATCCCTGTCCCTCATGGCCTCATGATGATGTAGTTAGATCCAATTGAAGTAAATGTGTCCCAAAATCTGAACATCAGTGTGTTACATTAAGAATTGTCACTACCAAAACCCATATTTCTTGCAATTAAGTAACTTTTTTGTGTTTTAATGAAAATTATGAAGATATGTGTGTGGACAACTGTTCAAAGCTGTGTTTGTTAGTCATGTACTGATTAACGTATTTGCGTTCTGCTCATAAGTAGCTAAAAATGCCACAACTGAAAAATTTGAAGAGTTCATTTGAAAAAACAGAAATCTATTTTAATCATTTAAGTAAAAATATCTCAACAAAATACATGTAACTTACAAAATTGTTTACTTTTTAATTAAATTCTGTTTTTTGGCAAAAGCCGAAAACTCCAATGGTCATTTCATGTTTCAGAGTTAAGCAAAGCCGTGTAATGGATACAATTTTCTTTTAAATGCAGTATTTAACATCCTTTAACATAAAACAAGCAGGTAAAGTGCTGAAAACTGCAACGCCTGTATTCTGGATTTACGATGTACACAAACAGCTAGAATTAGTGTTGAGTACACAACTAGAAAATATTAACAACTGCACCCCATTGATAAGCAATATTAAACATTTATAAGATCATACCTTTGAAAATCCTGAGGCTGAATCTCAAATGGCTCCCTATATAGTACACTATGTGACTTTGGACCAGTTCAGGAGAGTGATCCATAAAAATGAAGAAATAACGTTTTGTTATTAACTAAAGCTGCAGAGTCGAGCACCAGAGTTTATGTTCCAGTACAGCGCTCTAAAGGTTAGGAGCAAACAAAGCCAAGTCATAATGAGCATTCACATGGCCAGCACACGAACACACGAAACACGCTTGTTTATCATAGAAACATAGCTCTTCTGAATCATTCTCTTCTCATGCATCATGCCCTGAAATATAAAATCCAACAGTTTAACTTTACAGTTTTTATTTAGTGAGCACATATTGGGAGTTTATTAAGGTCTTGTTATTTGCCCAAATTATACAGTTGTAAATAATTTATTCACTGTGCATTACACTTTATTCATTCTGATCTGTTTAGTACATAATAAGATGTCTGTTTTCAGCAAGATGGTTTGCGTATTCAATGCGTAAACAATAAATAACATTCAACACATATTCAATCCCAATTCAGTACCTATTTATAGTATATTGTTTGGCAAAAAAGATGCCAGTATGTGTTACACAGAAGTTCAGGGGTTAAAACTGCACTTTAGAATATGGAACACATACTGAGGTCTTTGTAGTTCACATATTGAAGTATTCCAACAAATTCCCTTATTCCAACTAATAACACAATTATTAGCCATTTTCACACAACAGGCCTCCAATTATGTACTATATGGGTCACAGTGAATAAGCTTAATGCCCACATAGCAAACCATTTAGAAGTCTATTGCAGGGAAACCCCCATATTCTTGTGTTATAACACAAAAGGTAAGGTTTGGATACATTTACATGTTTTTTTTTTGTTATTTTAACTATGATTGTGTTAAAACTGTAAAGTCTGTATTGCAGTCAAATATTTGCACAGCGGTCTAAGGTTTTGCCTTAGTTTGAATCTTGCTGATACTGCCCATACAGAAATCTGATATGTGGCAGTATGTGGATTTCAAATAAGTGACGTATATTAGCATATCTGGATTTCCCTTATATCCAACTTGGACATATATGTGACATACATAGCAACTTATTTGAAGTTGAAGTTGGCCATTTTCAAATATGGGACATATAATTCAGTCATATCAACTTATATAAACATTTGTGTGCAACACACATATTTAACAATATGTAATAGAAAACATTATTTCTATATTGATGGCATATATTAGTCATATATGTGAGCTTCGTGTTATACAATGGTAAGGTTTTTTATTGCATGTATGTTGCTGATGTATTTCATTTAAATATTCCAGTGTTTGTATTAGACATACATGTATGATCTATGCGTCAGATATCTATCAGACAGAAAGCATATACGAGAGATATGTGTGTATATATCAGATATCAGATTGTTTACTGCCCCAGATATGTTCCATATGGTTCCTTTTTTTCCATAATGACATAGAAAAGCCCAACAACAGCGAGCAGAGAGATCTAGTGCGGTGAGATAAAGTGTAAGTGGACGTGAGGCGTTATAATCTAGTGCTCTAAAAGGATAATAATAATAATAATAATAATAATAATAATAATAGTAGTAGTAGTAATAAACAACTTGTTGTCATTGTCTATATATTGTCACAGAATCTCCATCCTATGATTGTACTTTGGAAATATTCAGCCCCCCCCATTAATCACTCCCCTGTACCTTGTTTGTTAATGTTTTCTAGTTGTATACTCAACACTAATTCCAGCTGCTTTGTCTACACCATAAATTCAGAATACACACCTACAATTAGTTGACTTTCGGATGTAATGTGAAGCAGAAAGGATTAGAATTACAGAGAGATGTAACATGTATTTGTAGAGGGTTACAAATGCAGTAAAATGAATAAAATGCAGATATTACAGTGCAGTAACCCAGTGTCACCTGAACATTCTGCTCCTCCAAAATTCAATAAATACCTCATCAAATATCAGTTTGAAATATTAGTCAAATCTAAACATCTGTACAATGCCAAGAATTTAATCACAAACATTAAATGTGGCTTATGTGGAAGTTTGTTTTATTTTTTTTTACATATAGTTTTAATATAGTTTTGAAAAATCACACTTTTAAAGGAGAAATAGTCACTTTTTTAACCTTTAACAGTCCAGAAAATGTTCGTACAACTTGAACATCAAATATGTTAGACCTGTCAGTTTCTTCTTTCTTAATAAATGTATTTCAGTTTGTCAGTAGCTGCTGTTCTTGTACGGCTGTAATGTGGCACGTTTGTGGTGAATCCCCCCCACTGAGTTAAGCATCTTGTAACCCGGTGAGTAACCATGCGAACACGTTTTTGGGAATTTGTTTGAGCTTTTTCCCGGGACTCCTTTGAAGCTGTGGATGGGCTAGGAGATCGGGGCGGGGGGCTTGGGGGGACTAACTAAAGAGTATCGACCCCCCATGGAGGTGGCGAAGCTACAGCTTTTTGTTTGAGCGCGCTCAGAGAGAACCTGCAGCACAAAGATGAACCCAGAATTTCCCCTCCAAACCAATCCGTTTCTCTGTCTTTACCAAATCCCCCAGTCCTCCAGCAGCAGCAAGACTTGGATGAGGTTTTTTGGGGGGGCTTTTTTATGGTTTCAACAAATCCTGCCTTAGGCAACTCTGTAAAAAGGGAAAATGTTCGGATAATCTGTTTTAAGGAGAGAGCGCCAATTTAGATTGACCTCGGGTCTTTTTGGTTTTTTTCTTTTTTTCTCTCTCTCCAGTGTTTGAGCGGATGTAGGTTCGTGTTTTTAAAGAGCTGTGTTTTTCAGGCTCTGGGGACTGAGCGCTGGAGCTGCTGTGTACATTTAGACTCCTCTCTAGACCTCTGAAGATGGTATTCTGAACAGAAATTGCATTGGGCCTGTGTAGTGGAATCAGAAATGTAGCTTCTCGTTGTGAAATCCAATCACATCATGTCCTGATCAAAGCAGCGTTCATGTGACATCGGTAATGACGCACTTATGCCACAGAGAGACCCTGAGGAAGAAATGGCTTAAAAAAGCTGCTCTTATTGTATTGATTTTCTCACATAGCAGAGCTTTCAGTAGTGATGATGTGTGAGGAATGAAGTAAAACACAGCAGAATCAGACTGCACACATTTCAATATCTGCTCTGTTCATGTACAGCACTCTAGAACACCACCTTTCACTTATTTAAGACAAGACATAGCCTGTGCTTTATTAGGTAACACTTTACTTGAAGGGTATCTACATAACATGTTCATAACATCTTACAAAAAAGCTTCATAACATGTTCATGAATGTCTGAATCAACATTCATGAAGTATACATGTTTTACATGATATTAATATGGACTACTATGTCATTTAACTGAGAGAAATTTTTCATTTTTTATTTTGAAAAACTATATTATTTTCAGTGAAACATCTAATTTCTGGACCCAGGAGGGTAAGTGGCTAAGAAAATGTGTGTGTTTGTGATAAAAGTTAACCAGACTGAAATGCATATTATTTGGATCTTTAAATTGCAGCGCAAAGTAGTCTACTTACATTCATGTGGCTCTCCAGCATCTAAAAGGAATGGGTGAGTATGATCACCCTGTAAAATTCCTTCATGCAGTGAATCCCAACACTACGCTAACATTCAGTTGAATGATTGTTCCTGGCATATTTATGAGTAATTTACTGTCCATATAGTAAAGTGGCATGTAGAGCAACAAGTGCTTAAAAAAAATCAAAAGATTAAGCGAATTCATTTTTATTTTGGCTGTCCAGAAATTAGGCATTTTGCTGAAAATACTATACTTTTAAAATAAAAAATGGGGACTTTTATTTTGAAAAATCACTCTCAGTAAAATTACATAGTAGTCCATAATAATATCATGTAAAATATGAATTTATGAATGTTGATTTAAGCATTCAGTAACATGTTATAAAGTGTTTATATAAGATGTTATGAATGTGTTATGTAGACACCCTTCAAGTAAAGTGTCACCCTTTATTTTATGTTCATACTGAGCTTGGTAAGCTAGTATGTTATAGGGCTTGGGAATGTGATGTGTTAACGCAGTGTCTTATGGGTGATCTGCCATTGTGGCAGGGTTAGTTGAGCTAGGCTCGTTCAACTCTGCTTTCCTTGATGTTGCC